CACGCACGCACACACACACAGGTACGACGGCGTATTAGGGCCATGTTGCAGATGAAAAAAAGGAGGAGCAAATCTCTGAGTAAAAAACTCAGAATTTCTGAGATTAATTTCAGAAATTTTCGAGAAAAAAAAAACAGGAAATTCTCTTATTTTGAAAAGTCGCAAATTTGCGAGAAAAAAACCTCAGAAATTCCTATAATTAAAGGCAGAAATTTGCAACATTTAAACTAGATTTTATCTGACATGGTAAAATCAGAAATTTACAAGAAAAAAAACTCGTTAATTTATGAGGAAAAAACGCTGAAGTTTTCAGGAATGGCTAAAGGGCGATTCCACCCGTTTTCACGACCTTGAGCATCTTTAATCCGCTCTAGTTTAAAAACTAAAACACACCGAGACTTCAAACCTGGACTGGATTATTCTACACTGATTGCATAATGTTTAAAACCAAGTGTGTGATTTATGAAACATATATTTGATATGTGAAACTTAAGGAAATATGGTGATTTCAGCACTTTTTATGCATTTTGTAAACAAGCATGGCCGGATGGAGAGAAATTATGCTGCTATTATGCTATTTTAGCTAATAAAATAACTACCGAAGGATAAAACTGCAAGCTTATAATAATATAGTAATGGCTCGCCATCACCTCCTCAGATACATTTAAAGAATTTGTGTTAGTAACTGAGATTCAAACGGCTTTAGCTTCAGGATGCTGACTCCACGTTTGACTTTACATGGTTATCTCCCTCTGTGTTATTAACACAGACAAAACACTGGCTTCAGCTTTCAGACGAGGCTGTTCCAAAGTTCGTCTCTGATTTTACACTGATAGGAACCGAAGTTGTGTTCCCTTTTAAAGTGGAGTTATGAGGTCTGTTGCTTCGCTTCAAACAGTTTCAGCAAACGGAGCGAGCCGAAATCCCCCCCCCCCCCGTGCCAGATCCACATGTGTGCCCACACCTGGACACGTGTGCTTCTGTTTCGAATGCACGTTCGAAGTGGCTCGACGTGACTTTTGTTGCAAACCGTCGCCATGTGAAAAGAAAAACAAAATTGAACTGAAATGTAACGGGCATCTCTTTTGACAACACGCTGATTTTCCATTTACTCATGCTCAGTGGACACACAGAAAACAACACACACACACACACACGGCTGGAATGTTTCATGCTGATCCTCGAACCTAATCTGTTCTCCAAGGCGGCTGCAGACCCTGAGGCCAGAACAGTTTGGCGTTTTGAGGCTTTAAGACTTGGATTTGAAATAATACAACCTGATTATCTTGGAATTCCTCACCTGACTCACTCCCAGCACTCTGAACTGGGGGGAGGAAAAAAAAAAAGTTTTCGAAAGGGATATTGCGTTTCTAAGGGTGGACACGCCACAGGCGAGGAGACAAGCGTCCATCAAGCTGTAATCCCTTTCTTCTCACTAATGTATGCAAGCACACACCTGTATACACACCTGGAGGGCAGGGCTGGGACTCATATGGAAACAGACGGGCAGCCAGAGTGTAGGGGTGGGCGTTTTCACACACGGGGGTGGGGGATCTGCATGAGCCCTGTCTGGTTTTTTTGTCTCGGTGACGCAGCCTTCCTTTATGTTTTTGCTCTATGGAAGCAGACCATAAAAAACCACACACCTGTGTCAGGCTGCTGTGAGTCACATCCTCAGTCATGTGCAGTCAGTTCTGAGGAGGAGGTGGAAC